GCACATGGCCAGGAGAGACTGGTCCTTGAAGGACATCATGCTCAGAAGGGTCAGGGCACAGTGCAGGAGAGGAAGACCCCGGATGAGATGGATTGATACAGTGACTGGGGTGATGGGGTAGGTTTGGTGGAGTCTGCTGCTGTGCATAGGGTCACTATGGGTCACAGGTGACTTGATGGCACATAACAACAACAATAACAACAACACAGGGGAGGGCCCCGGCCATAGGGATCTCCCTCCCAGATAGTTCCCACTGTGCCATCAGCCTTGCAAATGTCTGTGCTTGTTCTTGTGCAAGTAGAAGCTGGTAACGTAGGCTGGGATGAAGATGACCAGTCCACCTGCTGTCCTCACGGTACTTCCTGCCTTGCCCCTGCTCAGCTTCTGACAGAACCTCTCACGTCTGGAGCTCATCTCCCCATTGGACATGATCGCCTCCGGACTGCTGTCCTTCCACTCATAGTAATGGATTCCACGCTCCTGGGTCTACAGACTTTCTTTCCCAGGTAATCCTGAATGTAGCTGCTTAAAGGCACCGCAGCTCCTGATCTGTAGCCTCTGTTTGCTGCAGCTCCTCAGTATACCACAATGATTTTCAAATAGTCAATCAGCCTTGGTTCTTTAAAGTACCACAGAAGCAACAGCCATGGTAGTAGCAGTCAAGAAATCAAAAGATACTTACCTGGCAGAGGAAATACCATGATCAAGAAGGTGGTTTTCCCAGTGTAAGGCTAGCCCATTGCCCTCCGGCTGTGCTGACCCCTGCCATTTCCCCAAATGTGGGAAACTCGACTCCATGTAATTTGTGGTAGTGGGTTAGCATGCACAGCCTCCCCAGTAAAAGAAAAGAAAAAAAAGGTGTTGGGCAACTGCTATCAAGGACCTCTCTGCTGGCAGCTAATTAAGCCGACCATCCTCCTCTTCCGTGGGGGCTGGTGTGCAATGGCTGCGAACAGCAGCTCCTTGGTAGTGTACGCAGCCTGTTGTGTGTATGGGCTGCTCTAAGGGACCTTGGAGACAACACTTAACTGCACTTTGATTCATGCTTCTGACAATGTCTTGTCCTCATTTAGGCTCCAGACAGGTATGCGAGGTGCCTTTGGAAAACCCCAGGGTACAGTGGCCAGGGTCCATATTGGCCAGGTCATTATGTCCATCCGAACCAAGCTTCAGAACAAGGAGCATGTGATGGAGGCCCTCCACAGAGCCAAGTTCAAGTTCCCTGGGCGCCAGAAGATCCATCATCTCCAAGAAGTGGGGCTTTATGAAGTTTAATGCGGATGAGTTTGAAAACATGGTGGCTCAAAAGCGCCTCATTCCAGATGGTTGTGGAGTGAAATACATTCCCAATCGTGGCCCCTTGGACAAGTGGCGGGCCCTGCATTCGTGAAGCCCTTGGTTACCTCTGTCTTAGCCTGTGCGCCAATAAATTGAACTTCCTGGCTCTAAAAAAAAATAAAATAAAAAGGACCTCTTCAGTGTGCTAAAAATGAGTGTATATGTGCCTGATCTAAACCATTTTCAGTTCGCATGTACCTGGAAGGTGGACAATTAATAAGAAAGGCCAAAGGATTGATACCTTTCAATTATTGTGTTGGTGAAAAGGACTGACTATCCATGGACTGCCAGAATACCCTTGGAGGAGGTCCAACCCAAGTGAAGCTCCATCTCACACACACTGGGCCTGCTATCAGAAGGGGCCAGCCCTTGAAGAGACATGCACGATACAGTAATTGTAACAATGAGCTTGATCCATTGGTCATGGGGTCCTGAGGATAGAGCAGTTGTCCACAGAGGCATTATGAATGGTGTAGTCAGCTCAATGACACCTAACAACATATGCTCTTCGGCAGCGAGTGTGTCAAGTCCTCCTATCTATCTGCAAGCATGGGTATGCCATCTTGCCTAACGCCATTCTTCTCTGGAATCTAGCTTCCTGAATGATTAGCTCAGCATACTGGTTGACGAGGTACAGAGAAAGGATATAACCTTGATGCACATCTTTGCTGATTTTAAACCAGGCCATCTTCCCTTGCTCTGCTTGGTCAAGGGGTAGGTTTCACATGAGCACAAGTAAGTGTTCTGGAATTCCCATTCTTCTCAGTGTCAGCCATAATGTGCTATGATCCACACAGTCAAATGCCTCGGCATAGTCAATAAGACGTAAGTGAATCTCTTTCTGGTATTATATGCTTTCAGCCAAGATCTAGCTAACATTTGCAATTATATGCCTTGTTCCATAGCCTCTTCTGAATCCAAGTTGAACACCTGGCAGTTCCCTGCCCTGCTATAGTTGTTTTTTAATAATCTTAAAATTTTGTATGTTAAGCTACACTGCAATCCCAGAGGTGTGCAGTTCAAATCCAGCAGATGCTTTGCTGGAGAAGGAGGAACAATCTCCTCCCGTACCAGTCAAATCTGATTTGACAGTACACACACACATACACGATAAAAATAAAATTTTAAAAATTTCATATATTAATGATAATATTCTAGAATTTCTGCATTTTGTTAGATGACCTTCTTTTGGACTGGGAAACAGTATGTATCACTTTTGCTCAGCTGCCCAGATAGCTATTCTCCAAACTTCTTGTTATAGACAAGTGAGCATGTCAAGGGCTAGTTCTGTTTGCGGAAACACCGCAATATCGGTATTGCATCAGTTCTTGGAGCTTTATTTTTTGCCAGTGCCTATAGTATAGACTGAACTTCTTCCTTCAGCACCGTTGCTTCATGATCACATGCTCCTTCCTGACATGGACTGCTTCCGGTCAGTGTTGTGCCTATGAAACCCTTCAGTACTGTAACTGAATGCTTATACTTTTTCAGTTCCTTCAAGCTAAATGAACACGTGTGTTCTTTCCTTCTGGTTTTCTAGCTCAAGGTCCTTACACACTTCCTGTGTACTTGGCTTTGTCTTCTGGAGCTGTCCTCTGAAATCAGTGTAGCTCTTTTTTTTGGTACTCCACCAGCAGGTGTAGCTCTCTTATGTTATCATTTCTTCTTTTTGTTTTAGTTTCTTTAATTTCCAGAGCAACAAAAGCTGCAAACATTCATTAATAATTGGAACATGAAATGCAAAAAGGTAAGAATCTAGGAAAACTGGAAATTGTAAAAAATGAAATGGAGTATATAAAGACCGACATCCTAGGCACTGGCGAGTTGAGACAGACTGGTCTTGGCCACTTGGAATCAGCCAGTCATATGATCTACTACACTGGGAATGTTCAGCTGAAGAGCAATGGTGTGGCATTCATCATCAAAAAGCCCATTTCAAGACATACTCAGAAGTGTAATAGCGCTGTGAGGGGCACAGAAGGAAGAGCTGTTAATACGACTATTATCTACATATCCACACCAACCTCTAAAACAAAGATGATGAAATGGAGGGGTTTTACCAACCTCTGTAGTCTGAAATGAACGTGTAATCAAGGTGCATTCATAATAATGGGCAAGCAGAATGCGGAAGTTGTATTTGATTCTTCTATAGCCGGCGCACAACAGTAAGACTTATTTACTGCAGATCTTTTTGTGAAACATAAGCAGTGGCCATACACAGTTTGATAGGCTATAGAAGAATCAAATCTTCGGAAGAGACGGCAGAGAGGTTCAATAGCATCAGTCAGAACAAGGCCAGGCACCGTCTGTGGAGCAGACCATCAACTGCTCTTTGCCAAGTTTAAATTGAAGCTAAAGAAAATGAAAAACGCGTTCACAAGAGCCAAAGTCCAACCTTGAGCACAACCACCCTGAACTTAGAGAGCCTCTCAGGAACAGATCTGATGCCCTGAGTCCAGCTGACTTGTGAACAGCAGGATTGTCTTACATGAAGAAAGCAAAACCGTATGAAGAAAAGACACAAGGGAGGAACCTCTGAAACACGAAGAGAAGTTAAAGGAAGAAACGAGAAAATAAGAGCAGAAAAGAAAGAGTCCTCAGAAATGATTTTAAGCCAAGTCCAAGAATGCAAAGTGTGTACATTTAAAAAACCAATTCTATTTCTGATTACTGTTGAAGGGAGCTGTGAGAAGGTGCGACTTAGGGAAGAGAGGGCCGTAGAAAGGTGCTGGGGAGCAGCAGTACTCAGACCAGAGGATTTAGGGACTGAAAATCTCAGGTTAGGCAGTCAAGAAGCCAGAGATGAAAAGCACTGAGAAGTTGGACAAACTTCACAAGTACAGCCAGAGGTCCACAGTACAGGATTTTTATTACTCGAGGGCAACTTGAGACTTCAGTGCCTAGCTTCAGTGAACACACACTCATCCACAGCCTGGGGGGGCCTTCTAAAAACACCCAAGAGTACACGCAGCTAAACAAAACCTGTGTGAGAACACCACTTCCTTTCTGACAGTGCCTCACTTTCCTCTCTGCCTTGCGCCCACCTTTCTTGCTTCTTGGGGCTTCTGTTTTGGCACTCGAGGGGCCTGGGGCTTAGCTGCACCCTGGGCAGTGGTCCTCCTGCCCCTGTAAGTGTTGGGCTGGAGGCTGAGCCTGTAGCCTTATAGAGTACCCAGAGTTGCTGGGGAAGCCTGGGCTATGCAGGCACTGGCTGGATTGGGAGGGCGTGCTTCTGGGATGTGGGTGGTTGCTCAGAGCCCCTACTTACTGCAAGAGGCCTGGGAGGGCCTTGGATCTGGCCAGCTTGTTTAGAGTACTTCAGGCAAGTTCAAAGAGGTGGCCGGAGGCGGGGGGAGGCGGGGGGGCGCTCCTCTGGGAGCCTGTGATGGAGCTACTCTGATTCCCCGCAGGGATCCAGCTGCCCCTCCCCCATCTTCCTGGTCCACGTAGCCAGTGGCCTCAGCCCCTCAGCCCCCATGCTTCTTTGATGACATCCATGTGCTAATCCAATGGCTGACTGGCCAGCCAAGCTCTGCTTATGGCCCCTATGGCCCCCCTCGCTCTGGGGATGGTGCCCCTATGCCTGCAGCCCACAGGCTGCAAAGTGTTCGCCATTGGGAGGGCTCTGAATTCCAGGCTCGAGCGTCTGTCCCTGCACTTGTTCAGCCCTGAAATTCATCACTCTCTTCAGGCCTCAGCCTGCCAGCAGGACCCAGGCCCAAGCCTAAGATAAGAGGAGATTCCAATGAGCAAACACTGCCAAACATCGGGGGAACAAACATCGGCTTCACTGCTGCCTCGCCTCTTGGGGTATTCTGGGGACTTGAGGCTTCTAAGAAGGAGCTTTTCAAATAGCACCTGGATGGAAGATCCTCACTAGGCCAACTGGTTTACGTAAGCCTTGGGGAAGGGCCAGCGGAATTGCAGAGCAGCTGGTCTGGAGCTGAGGTAGGCTCCTCCCCAGGGGCACCCTGCGGAGGACGACAACTCCCCAAGGGAGAGGGGGGAGTGCGGTACCTGAGAGGGAGCTGGAGGACAGCAGCTGCAGGCTGTCAAGCACCCCATCTTTGTAGAGGGCTAGTTTCTGCACCATCTTCTGCCGAGCCGGGTTGATGACAATCTGGGGTGGCTCAGATGACACAGTGCTGCCTCGCGGTGACCCTGTCCCAGAATGTCCTCTTAGTCACAGGAGCCGAGCCAACCCCTTGCAGAACCCCTTTGGCCCTGGCCTTGCCCCCTGCACCATGTGCAGACACTGGCTGCTGGGGCACTGGCTCCCACAGGCTCTTGTGGACTGGGAGAGGAGACAGGTTAGGGACTGAGAACCAGCCCTTTCCCTGGTGAGATGAGGCAGCCTCTGGACCATGACAGGGCCTCCGAGGCTGTCAGCCAGAGGGGAGCCTTGCTCTCGGGTACCTTCCAAAGTTGCAGGCCAGGATCCCAGGCTGCTCCCTGGTCTTGACTTTCTGGTGGTGCCTCTGGTTTCAGTACAGCTGGTCAGCCCGAGGGGCTCTGGGGCCCAGATGGCAGCCCCTTGCCCACAGATGCCTGGCAGGGACGGGCTTGGGCTCAAGTGCCAGGAGCACAGGGCATCGGAGACTGCAGACACACTCTCGTCGCTCTCCACAGGCTGATTGGCTCCTTTCTGCAGCTGGTCTCCAGCGGGGGCCTGGCCTCCAGAGGGTGCAGCCAGGGGCTGCTCGGAGACCTCCCTGCTGGGGGCGGTGCTAGCAGTGGACACGTAGGAGTTCTCCTGTGGAGAGGGTGGGCCCTGGCCCAGGGCCCCAGGCGTCAGGGCCGGCCCTGCTGGTGCCTGCAGCTTCTCCAGTCTCGTGTACACCTGTGGACAGGAAGGGCGCTCTGAGGGATGGCACAGCCACTGGCCAGTCACAGCCCTGACAGAGCCCACGCATGTACATGCTCCAAGCTGTCTGAGATGTGTCCCGAGGCTGGGGACCACTAAGCTGGCACAACCTGCCACTGGGAAAAGCTCTCTGTGTCCTTAAGTGGAGACTTGTCTACTCTCAACCGTCACCAGAAGACACAGGAAGGAGACAGAAAAACAGATGTAAGGGCACCATCCACCCAGAAGGTGGCACAGTAAGGGACACGGGGTTTGGGTTTTTTCCTGGGTCAACACTGACCCGGAAGCATCCTGAGCCCTGGAGCCGAGAGTGGCAGGCAGAAGGTTGTTTTGGAAGCTCCATGTGACCAGGCCAGGAGTGCAGGTTACCTCGGTCATGGGGGGCCTCTTCTTGGCCCGGCGGTGCAGACAGCAGCAGGCCAACTGGCCCAGAGGCAGGCCAAGCTCGGGAGGGCAGGGTCCAGGCCTGGGATCCAGGTGTTTCCTGTAGATCTGGGCAGCAACTGGGGCGGCCCAGGCATCCAAGGCCAGACCTGCTTGCACTGTGGTGTGGCCACCTTTCAGGTGTACCCCAGCATCCTCAGCCTCCTCCTCCACCAGGTCCTTCTGTGGGACACAGGCGTGGTGAGCAAGAACTGCACTGCTTCCACCTGGGCGTGTGCTCAGCACCGCCTTCACCCCACAGGGGAACAGAATGGGAGGCTGAGAAGACTGCTGAGAGGGAGGTGGAGGCCAGCAGTTGCAAGCTCCTGGGTGAAGAACTAACGATAAGTGATGGAGAGAGCTGAAGTGGACCCGCGAGATGGCAGGGGCAGCTGAAGAGTCCTCAAAGGGACACCAGCATGCGCAGGCCAAGGGCCAGGAGGAGACGCTGACTGAGCATGCCCTGGGCACATCAGGTGTCCTTAGGAGGAGGTTTGGTAGATAGGTAAACTGAGGCCCAGCAAGGAGTAGGCTGCTGTCAGGCGAGAAAGCAAACCCATTTCCTCTCTAGCCAGACAGGAACCCAAGGCTGCAGAAGAGAAGACTGGCTTGAAGCCCTGACTGCTGTTTGTCCTTCAGGCTGTCCTTCCTGCCATGCGCCCTGGGACAGGCCAAAGTGCCAGGGCCCTCAGCACAGAGAAGGAACTAGCAGACTGGGTCTCCTTTCCAAAAGGACAAGCTTCAAGGCTCTTGCCTTCTGGATGATTCCACCCACAAGGGCTGCCTCACCAGATATTTGGTCCCTGTTCCCTGTGTCCTCACAGCCCGCTGGCCTGTCAGAGTCTCCAGCACCACCTGGGAAGAGGGCAGATGAAGGGCATAGCAGTGGCTCGTGCAGAGAAGTGGTCCTGATGGACTGGGTGGCATGGCTGGGGGCCAGCAGGGAGAGCCAGGGTGGGATAGCAAGTGAGGTTAGAACCAATGTGGTAAACAGGAAATAAGGTCTAGTGTTTCACCAGGCCAGCCAAGGGCCCCACAGAGAATTTTCCAGGCCCCCTGGTCTGGCCCCATGAGTGGCTCTTCCTACCCAGGCTGTCACAGGGGTCGAGGCTGCTCACCACGCCGAAGCTGAAGGTGTCGGTCTCCACAGCCAGCTTGCCCGTCTTTACGTAGTCTTCTGGCAGGTAGGCCAGAGTGCCTCTCACGGTCTGAGTTCGGGCTACAGTGCTGCTTTGCCCGGGACTGGCACTGGTAAAGCGGCTAAAACGGGCGAGGCCAAAGTCTCCCAGCTTGGGCACCAGTCTCTCATCCAGAAGGACATTGGAGCTTGAGGAGGGGAGAGGGCATTCAGTTGGGCCTAGCCCAACAATGTGGAATTGGGGCCACTGGCCTGGAGCTCTGCCCAGTTAAGTGGTCATTGCTGCTTGCACCATCCAATTGAGTCCATGCCCCTTGATCGCTGGCACTTTCTGGGGCCTAGAGCAGAATGTGAGGTAGGCACAGCCCTGAACTCTGTGACTCTTGGCCTCTGTTTCCACATAAGTCTGAAGCTGGGGTACTCAGGAGCTCTGGAGCCCCCTAGGACCCTTCATGCTGCTCTCTGCGTTGTGTCCTCACCTCTTGATGTCCCCATGGATGAGGCTGGGGCTGTTCTGGTGCAAAAACTGAATTGCCCGGGCGGTGCCCACAAGGATGTCCACCCGCTGCGACCACAAGAGGGGGGTGCAGGCCTGGGTCTGAAGGGTAGAGGGACATAGGGCTGGGAGGCGGCTGCAAGCACTTCTTTATCTCTCCTCTGACCCCCCCTCCCCTGCCACTTCTCTCTGAAAAAAGAGGCTCAAATCACCAGCATCTACTGGGGTGAGTGTGTGTACATGTGGGAGCGTCTCAAGGCATGGGTTTCCAGGGCTCCTTCCTGTCAAGGTGGCTCCCGGACCTGGCTGTCCCTGGGCCTGGCTGAACCAAGGATGCCCACAGCTGGGATGTTGCCTGCTATTCCCTTCCCACTTACAGGAGAGAGGCTCTCATGCCTGAACCCTCCTCCAAGAGGTGCTGGGCCTAGCTCCAGACAGAACCTCCAGGCAAACAGCCCACTGCCCAGGGTGGGACCTAGGGTGAGGGCTGCAGGAGAGCCCGGCCAGGCTCTACTACCAAAGCCCTCTGCCCAGTGCCACCAGGCCTGTGTGTGCCTGGGTCAGTGGCTACCTGGAAGTGCAGGCAGTCCTCCAGAGAGCCGTTGGGCAGGAAGCCGTAGACCAGGCAATAGAAGCCACTCTGAGCACAATAGCCAGCAAAGTCCACGATGTTTGGATGACGGAACCTGCTCCACAAAGCGGGGCTGAGTGCCTGGCCCTTACCCCCTGCCACATGATGTCTGGCAGTGGCCACACCCAGGGCGGTAGGCACTGCGAGGGGAGGGCTAGACGGACAAAGGCGCGCGTGGATGGGAATCCGGCTCACCGGGACAGCTGCTCCACTTCGGTCAGGAAGCTCTGCCTCACTGTATTCCACTCCAGGTCAGCGTGCTGGGGAGGGGACGCAGGGTGATGCTCTGCTTCCCAGGCTGCCCGCCACCGCCTCGCCCCTGCCATCCATGCCAAGGAGTCCCGACCCTTCTCCCAGGCACACACCTACCTCCTTCAGCCTCTTCACAGCGTACACAGTGTTCCTCATCACAGCCCGGTACACACAGCCAAAGCCACCCTCGCCAATCTTGAGCTCCTCGGAGAAGTGGCGGGTGCCCTGAGCAACCTCGGGGAGGGGCCAGCAGAACGGGGCAGGGTGGGCCCCCTCCAGGACACCCAGCTGGCTTTCTGGAGGCAGCTGTGAGAAGAGACCTTGGCAGGGGAGCTCTCACCAGCTGCGAAGCCACCCCCACTCCGGCCGAGCGGGTTGCCCTCAGGGGGCTCTGTAGTGTACCAAAAGCTCTGCCAAGTCTTCCTCCGGGCCCAGAACCTTCCCGAGGGCCACGAGGCACCTACCTCTGTGGAGGAAGGGGTGGGAGGCGGCAGGGAGGAGGCAGGGTGTGCGCGGGGGAGCTCGGGCCCAGGGTGGGTCTGGGAGCCTGGAAGAGGGAGAGGCTTTAATCCAGGCGCCCTCTGCGCTGCCCATCACCACCAGCGCCCGCCTCTTACCTGGAGAGGGGAGGGTGGAGGCCGAGGGCTGCCACTTCCTGGGCCGGTGGGGCTGGGCCCCAGCCTCGGAGGGTGCGCCGCTCCCGCTGGGCTCCGGGGCGGGGACACTAGGGGGCGAGAGGGGCTGGGCAGGGTGCCCTGCTGGCGCGGAGGGAAGGAAGGGCGAGTGTGAGCGGGCGCCCGGCGGTGCCCCCGCCCGGCCGCCCGCCCCGGTCGCGCTCACAGGCCGTGATGATGTCGCGCGCGCGGAGCAGCTGCAGGTGCGTGAGGATGCTCACGAGGTCGGCCACGCGGGCGTTGCGGTTGATCCAGGGCCACAGGACGCTGGCCGTGCGCTGCCCCGAGCGCTCACACAGCCGCAACTCTGTCTGGTCGCGCACGATGAGGGCCGCTGCGGGGCAGGGGGCGTCAGGTGGGCAGCGACAACCCACGGACCCCACGCCCCTACCCTGGCTCGCGCCCAATGCCACCCACCGAACTGGCACCAGTCGGCGGGCTCCAGGGCGTCCATCACCTTGTAGAAGCGGCACATGACCCAGGGTGGCACCTCGTACAAGAAGTGCTGGGCTCCGGGGGCCGCGGGGTCCCCAGGACCTGGGTCCCCGGCCATGGCCCGCCTCGCGCCGCGGCTGTTGCCGAGCCAGGCCTCTCCAGGCCACGGCAGGCGAGAGCCTTGGCCTGCCGGACTACACTGACTCACTTCCCCTTTAAGTCAACTCCTGTGCCGCCCTGCGGGGCGGAAGGGGCGGTGCCAGTCCCTGGCCCCGTCCCGGCCAGCGCGCTACTCAGCCACGCGGGGGCGCCTGCGCTAACCCCGGCCCTCTCTACACCTCCCCCGGACTCCGCTGCGTGGTCACAGGCCTCCGACCAGGGAGGGGCCGGCCAGCATTTCAGGCGCCCAATGTTCCAGAGAGGTTGCGCCTCCAGGTGGCTGCTGCCCACCCCAAAGCCATCTGGAGGTCCCTTTAGGACGATTGGTCATTATCAGGTCGGCTGTGGCGCATTGTCAGGAATCGGGGCAGGACGGGGTCATCCCAGCTGACTCCAGCCACGTTTGATTCCTGGGGAGCCATCCCGGCTCCTGTGTTGTCTCTGTCCCCACCCCCCACTGCGACCTCCATGGGCTCATGCCCTGTCTCTGTGGACTTCAAACGGGACTCACTTCCACGATGCCACACTCTTGACTTCGTCGGGTTCCCTGGCCCTCTTCTTCCTTTCCTTGCTTAGACCCGTCCCCGCTCCCAAAACCCGACGGTGTCTCAGTTCCTGTGGGGCACACATGGCTGTGTCCTGGGGCCACTGCCTGACTGTCCGCTCTGGCCACAGAACGGCAGACTTAAGCCACTCAATTCTGCAGGCTTCTGGAAGCGCACCAGGAATGCCCACGGGCCTGCCCATCCACTGTCGCCACTCCCCCCTCCACCAGGCCACCTCCCTACCCCACACGACTGAGTTCCAACCTGTGACCAAGGAAAGAGCCCTCCCCATCCCGGGGGTAGGGTGGATGGCAGCCCACTAGGGCCCTTTTACCTCTTGTGCATCCTCTTCAGTCAGCCACCACCCCACTGGGCAGGGAGACCCCAAAAGCAGGGCTCTCTCTCTCATTTGGGTTGGCTGTCCAGCTGCGGGTAGGCCTCTGTATGGGCCCCCTTCTTACCCTGACCACAGAGGGTCATCTCCAGCTTGCTGTTCCCACAAGCCAGACCTGCCCAGGGACCCAAGCAATCCCTATGGAGCCTCTCCCCTGAAACTGCAGGGCTGCTCTGGTGCCAGCCCTTCCTGAGTTCCTAGCCCATACTCACCCCACAGGGGCAGGGCCGTGGGCCTCCTTGTTCACATGGGCTGTCAGCTCTCAGAACATTCTAGGTACACGTGGGGGGGGCTTTCAGGGCCAGGACATGCGGGTGTACCTGTCACTCAGCGCATGCAGCAACCTAGGTCTGAGCAAACCTGGGTCTCAACCTTGACTGCAAACCCTGATTGCTTCTGGGGCATCCATCCACGGGGAAGCGGCCTGGCCACCAGGCAGCAAAAGCAAGCGTGAGTCCTAACTGCTGTGGGGACAGAAAGAGCCAGAGTGGGAGGAGGGCTTGAGGGGTCCCAGGAGGCGCTCCCCACCTGTCCCTGTGCTGCTCCCAGGCAGACTCAAGTGGCCTTTCTGGGGTTCCCCATCATGCTCAGGATTTGGACACCTCAAGGTGGCAGTCAGAGGCCCGTGGGTGAAGCACTTCCCACCCGGCGAGGCCTCAGAGTGCACGCGTCCATCCAAGGTGAAGAGACGCACCGTGTGGCCTAGGACCTCGGGGGGTGGGAGACAACTTCTGTCTTACAATGAAAGCCCAGAGTTCGAGTCACTTTCACAGAGAGGTTTATCGAGAATGCTAACAGCACAGGGTACAGTACTTCCCAACAAAAGGTGCACACGCATCACTCAGAAGGCATGCTGAGGCGTCTTTGCGTCACATGGATTAAAAAACTTACAAAAAGAAAAGAAAACTGCGTGCTGCCCATCTTGTAAAATAGTAAAAGAACCTTAGGAAAATTCACTGGGTTTTACAACAAAAGACACAAACGGACATTTTTATGTAAATTTATAAGGCAAACTCTTTATATAATAAATAGGTTACAGGGATTCCGTGGGGTGTTTTTAAACGTATACAGGTACATTCAGACAGGTTTACTGAAATGGTACAAATTTCCTTAATAAATTGCCTTTTGTTTTAAATATATCAGTGCTTTCAGTCATTTGGCTATACACAAAGAACCTCTTTTTTTTTTTTTTTAAACACTACAAAAAAGCAATCAGTATTTGTTTTTAAAACGACCTACTTATTTTCTAAAGTAATTGTCCCAAAACACAACAACTGAGGGTGAATGCCACCAGGGCTGAGAGACTTCTCCAGCTCCACCTGCCTCGGGCGCCCCGTGACGCTGGCAGCAACATCATCCCACAGTCCTCGGCCTCCAGCTCATTCTTCTAGACACTAAGGCCCCCAGCCCTCGCAAGTGGCCAGCATGGCCACAACTGTCCTTGGCTTTCCCAAGGGGGCTGCCAGGTACTCAAATGTGTCCCAAGAGCCCCAAACAATGTCTGATGAGGGGTGACTTCTCTGAGGGAAGAGGGTGTCTCACCACCATGGTGTTTGAGGGACCAGAGAGCTCACTCTCCCATCATCTGACTGCCCCTGGACACGGTGGGACAGAGACAGGACGTGGGTGCGTGCGTGGAGGGGCGCGTACATGTGCCCTCTGTGGACCCCCGAGCCACCATGGAGCCCTTGTTCTTCCCGCCCTCCTGACTACCCTGGGAAGGAAGGTCACCTTGTCTCTCTGAAGGTCATGTGACGTCAGTAGTCTTGGGGTGGGTGTGAAGACAAAAGAATCCACTGGGTAGTACAAACTGGGTTTGCTCTTAACAGCAGCCACACATCAACTCTCCGGTCCACTGCAACTGGATGATTGGCCTCAATGTCTCTGGGGGTCTGTGGCTGGCCAAGTCAAGAGCATTTCCCTAGAATTCCCTGAAGCAGGAAACAAGCTGCCTCTCTCATCTCAGTCACCAGCCCCCTCCCTGGATTTTTGTTGGCTTGTTAGTAAAGGTGTCTAGAAGCATTTGTCTCTGGAACAATTACTTTAAACATGGTTACAATACAGACTTCAGTTCAAACACATAAGAGATTTACTTAGCCAAGTTCCTTTCACCCACCAAAAACTACACAAATAGAAGCCTCAACACCACAGTTAAGAGGACCAGTAGAGTGTCTCATGTTTGGAACACAAAAGGAAAAATCAAACCCGAACCAAACCTGAACAGAAACCCCCCAGAAAGACAGGCAAGGGCAGGGCTAGGAGAGAGGAGCGCACAGCACGCGCTACAGTGTCCGGTTCCCCGGCGTGACCCAGGAGAGGGCTTGGCCGCGGTTAATAACAGTCCTGGTCATATTTGGTCATATACTCATCAACTACTGACTCTGGAGTGGCTGTCATTGATTGAAGGAGGAATAAACTCAAACACAAAAAGGCGGCCTTTGTAGCAAGGGAAGGAGCAGGCTTCAAGTGACCCTTTTTGCACCCACTGTCCTTCTCCCCAGAAACACTGAACAGGGGTCCTCTCCAGTCAGTGGGGCTAGAGACCTTCACAAGGTTGATGGGTGCTGACATGGGGACACCGCCTCACCTCCTCTCCCACCCCAGCTTAGGGGGGCAGCCTGCCAACCAGGCTCTCCTAGAGGCCTGGAGACTGCTCCTCCTGGGAATTGAGGCGTCAGAGCCAGCAATGACGCACGGATGGAAGCATTTGGCCCTGATGATTAGAATACTCTGCTTTGGAAGAACAAGTTTCTAGATTTTTTTTTTTGTGTTTTTAATTACGTAAAAAAAGGATTGAAAAGAACTGTTACAGCTCAACTCTCTAGCAGATATTGCTCATTAAGAATTACAAAAGCAAATGCAGTTACTGGGAGGATACAGGAGAAGAGAAAGGGTGGTTCTGGAGTTTTCTCCAACTCCTAGTAGGGTACACTTTGCTCACACGGGATTCTGGAATCCCTGGGGCTCTCCCTGGCATGAGGTACAGGTTCAGAGACTAGAAAAGCCTTCCTGTCTCCCTGTCACCCCCTGGCTTTGATCTCTACATGTGAGGTTCCCTGCATCTGTCTCCACACCCAGCTGCTGGCAGAGCAGGGAGAGGTTGGCCCACCCCATGGGCTCCAGTCAGCCTACCCAGAGCTGACTACATTCTCAACTTTCCCTGGTCAACGGGGCCTCAGGACATGTCACCAGAACAGGAGGAGGGCATGCCCCGGGTACCCTGGAGACACGAGCAGGAGACACGAATCTGCTTGGACAGAAGTGACCAGCAGACAGAGTTGTTGGTTTTTTTTCTGGTTTTTTGTTGTTGTTGTTTTTTTGTTGTTTTTTTTTTTTTGTTTTTTATTTTCCCTTGTCCTATGCTATGGTTATCAGAAATATTGTAATTAAGTAACAGGTATCATTTGAACAGGTCTTTTGTGTGTGGTGCCACAAGCAAAATGAGTTTATAATTGTGCAATATACAGATATATATATATAAAATTCCACTGCTTTGTGTGTCTAGTTGGTGCATTAAATCAAAGGGACAGAAAAACGAAAAGCAGAAATCAAAAGCAAAACAATGCTAGTTCCAGGATCGGGGTGCACAGCGGCCTAGGAGGCTGGTCTAAGTCACAGGGAGCGACGCTGGACACAGGACAGTGCGGGAGGTGCTGTTTGCCTGACTCCTCTCCCCGCTGAGCCGGGCCAGGGCGCTAAGAGCTCTGGGACGGGGCAGAGCCACTTCCCAGCTGTTCTCCTCCCCACTTCCCCACCTCCCACAGGGCCTGGGACCTGCAGGGAGGTAGCCAGGTACGAGGTGAACAGTTTGTCCATCACAGTCTCTTTCCTGACCTCTGCAGTCCACAGAGGAGCCAGGGGCAGCTTTCCAACCTCTAGGCCCCAAGATCCCAGGCAGGGACGGCTGGCCCCGGAGAAGGAGATGACCAGAAGGCCAAGGGACAGGACACACAACAGGCAGAGGCCGAGGGGTAGATGCCACACCCTCCGGTCCGTGACTGGGGTGGCCTCTGTCAAGATGAGAAAAGAGCAGAGGTAGGAGGGGCCAGAGGGTGGCCTGCCAAGGCACCAGTGACGAGGCCCTGGTGCCAAGTAACTGTCCACACCAAGAGCTCGGCTTCTACTACTCATCAGGCACTCAGGCCGAGCCCGAAGGACTCACATCACTGCTGCAGAGGTTGGCTCTTACTCATTCAAAACATTGAAATATGATCTTTCTGCCAAATGTTTTCTAGGCTTTCCTTCTAAATCTTGAGAATTGGTCTCAGTGTTCAATTTTCTCCTTTAATATGTAATTATAGACCTTGGAGGAGGCAGTATCCTAGCGATTTAGAACAACAGACAACGCCTTTTCTAAAGCTTCACACTGTATCTAAAAAACACAGAAGTGGAGAAAATGAACAGGTTCTTCAGAGTGGAGCGACAGTGAAAATGGCCTGCAGCGTGCAGAGCACACAGGGAGGGGCTGGGGCGCAGAGAGTTCTTGTGCGGGGCTTGCAGGTGCAAAACACCGCAATTCACGTGGAGTTTTCAGTCTGTGGGAATTGGGGGACTTGCTTGCCTCTGAGGTTAAACCCTAATCAGGAAGCAACGTGGAAACTCCAACAAAGAACTGATGAGCTGCCCCCACCCCATCCGCCCCAGCCGTCTGGGCAGAGGACAGACTTGGTGTAGGTGGCCTGTTGGTAGACCTTCCTGTTCTAGCCTGGGCTCCAGGTTCTTACTTGAAGTGGGACACAAGTCAGAAGTCCTGTCAGTGGTAGAAACTTCTTCCCCATTCAACCTGGCAGTTGCTTTAGGTGACGGCCTTCCTTTCAGGGTTCCTCCAGAGCAAGCAAAGACAAATGAGACTCTAGTCTGTGTGGCCCCAACAGGCTGGGTAATATGCCATTTCTAGGGTCCCCAATGTCTCTGGCTGATGTTCCTACTGCTGACAAGCACCCCAGCAGGGGGCAGGGCAGACCAGGAGAGGAATTGGAAACGAAGGCCTAGATCAGGGGTGGGGGCAACTATAAATGTGACCTCCTCCCGAAGAGAGACCCCAGTCTCTGTTGTGTCACGCAGACTCGAGGCTCCCTTGAGACAAGGTGGACACCTGCTGGTGAAGCTTTACCACCCAGCTCTCATCCAATCCACCAACCTGGAGGCAGGGCAGCCCCCTAGGCGTCGTCAGGTGATGCTGGGCTGCCTAGACAAAGGCGGTCAATTCGTGACGCCTTAACAGGGCAGAGGAGGAGACGATGGATGACAGGGGATGTCTGCGGAGCCTCGGGCACCAGCTGCAGCTGTGAGGTCTGGAGGGAAAGAAGCTGGGGAGGGGGAAGCTGCCAGGTGGCCCCAGGCCCAGACTGTGCTCCCCGGGGCCACATAGCACTGGACTGGATGGCACTCATACAAGGTGGTCTTTGGAGGTGCCTGCCGACCAAGGCCAGGCTGGAGGCCAGGAACCTCTTCGCCTCCCAGCCTCCTCAGATGGCCCAATTCCCTTCCTGAGGAGGCTCAGACAAGAAGTCGAAGGCTGGATAGCAAGTGTGGGTGTCGTCGGGACTTGGGCTAACAGGTCTCGTTGCGGGATTTGCTTTTACAGATTAAAAAATAAAAGGACACAAATAGGCTAAACAGACTAGCTACGACTATAAACTGAATGGGGCAAACTCCCTTGCTTCTACCCATTCCAGAAGAGACAAACACTGTTTTATCTTAAGCTACTGATTGGAACGGTCAACTATGGTTCCTGACCACTAAGACTGGCAAGGAAGGGCTACATGGTCTCTATGATGGTTCACTCCTTCAGGATCACACCGGGACAAGGAAGCCGGGACAAGAACGGAAACACACGAGACAACACACGCTTGACAGGTCACTGCAGCAGCTCACAGGTGACGTGCTTGTGGGTGTTTTCTGGAAGCATAAGACTGCTGTCTCATTTTGCTACTTTGATAAGGTACTTCTCATTTGGACAGATTTAGATATAAGAGACATCTCTGTAAACACAGAAAAGGATATACCAATATGATGAAGGTATGCAGCTAGATAAGGACTTCCTGAAGAGAGGTTAGTGAGACAGACACCTCCCCCCACTCTGGCCCACACTGTGGACGAAGTGCGAAGGGCGGAGCCGAGGACTGGGGTGGGATAGCAGGTCAGGTCAGGTCTCAGGAGTGGCGGCCCTATAGGAAACTGGGAGGAGTTGGGCAGAACTGGCTAGAGGCCCGTCAGGATGGTACTGGGCCCAGCCAGTGACACTGGCGGAACCCAGAAGAGTCGCAATGCTCAGCTGACACATCTGCCCAACTTCTCCCATCTGCTACTCTGGAAGCTGCTTCTCTGGAGCTGAAGGCTGCAAAGCTGGTTGTTTAGGGTGGGCACAGTGTGGGAGTTTTTCATCAGGGAGGAAAAGCCCCCTCCCGCCCCAGGAGAACACAACTATGTCCCTCTCTTGTTCTCAGTGGATAGAGGCCCTGGAATGCTATGGCCAGCTCCAATCAAGGAGAGCCCCAGTGAGAAACAGGGTGGGGTGGGGGCTGGAGACAGTGGGGCAAGGAAACTACAAGGGGTGAAGAGTTGGCAAGCGCCAGCTCAGAGTACAAGGGGCACTGCGGCTGCTGGGACCAAAAGGACAGGACAGAAGGAAGGAGGGGCTGGCAGAAAGGAAGGAGTGCAACTAAAGGACAGAAGAGGAGAGAATAATCAGGAAGTCCTTATAAAATTGCAGCAAACACTTAGAGTTTCGGAGCTTCGTGGGAACCCTATGTGCTCATCCCACTTGAAAACAAGTGCAGATATATACAGATACAGGTAGTTTGAACACCATCAGAACTGCTGGCTGGAGCAAGCCAGTTTTCTCTTAGAGCATCTCTGTTTGTTTTGAAGTGGGAACATGAAGACTCAATAGTGCAAATAACCCTAAACTGTCCCTAACGTAGTAGAATTGGAAAATAACCGGAAGAACAGTTTTCCTGCCCCGCCCAGTCCAGTCCACTAACTCGCAGTCCAAGATGGCCTGGAGTCACTGCGCTGGGCCTGCTCCCCGACCCTGGGCCAACCTGCTACGTCCTTGGCCGGCTGCCTCCTGGCCACTCTCTCCAGTGTTAATCTGGAGAATGACTCCAAGAATAGACAATGCTACCTCGCCCTCAGTCACATCCTCCCCATGGCTCTGGCCAGTGGTTCAGAGCCGGATCCTCCCTGGCTATGCCAGGACTGGAGGGGATAGGGGCTACTGTTCTGTTCTGGCGAGTGTCCTGGGTCAAGTTTGGCTGGGGCTGGCATGGGACCAGACTTGGCCAGCCACTGCAATTCATTCTGCTGAAGAATCCTGCCCTCGGCCCCACACCTCCTTGTCCTGCCGAGGCTGGGAGGGGAGGTGGGAGAGCTGTGGTAGGAGGTTGGGGCACCAGTGGCACGGAGAACTAATGATCACCAGCAGCGTGCCACTCCTGCCCCAGGCAGGGTGGAGAGGGGTGGGTGGGAGGCAGGTGCAGGCATAGCCGGAGCAGCCTGACCAACAGCTTGTCTGCTCAGTAGTACTGCAGCAAGCCTTGGTGAAGGAGCCAAGTTTAGAAAAGTGCAAAGCTACTTCTGGCCCTGGTTAGGTCTTCAACCTGACTGTGCTTGTCGGTTAAGAAAAACATCCCAATGCTCCAACTACTCCCACCCTGAAGCCACGAAACTCTAAGTTTACTGAAAGAAAAAAAAATTCTTTTTTATTTCAGTTAATCGGGAAGCTTCGTCAGAGCCCTACCCATAAGGAGAAGAGACAACAGCTGCCTTTATTCTTGTTGGTTTGCTTTTTCAATCCCCTCGGTTGAAAGTCAGCTAACTCTCTCTGTCACGGGCGTCCGGCTGTCCACAGGCTCCTCTCTGTTTGGCCTTGGCATGGAGGATGAAACAATGTCTTTGCGCTCGCCCTCCCCTCGGTGTTTGTACTTTTCAGCGGCTGTGGCGGCAGGAGCAACTGCGGGCTGAGTCTTAGCTGGTTCCTTGGGGCAGCCATCGCTCTCCAGTAAGCCTCCGCGCGCCATCTTCTCCTCTTTACAAATGCTGCTGCTTAAGTCCTGAGGCTCGGGGGAGCTTTTGGGGTCCTTGGAGCTTTCGGGCTCAGGTGAGGGCAGGGGCGGCAGCAGTGGCATGGGGGCCTTGGGGGACTCGGCGCGGTGGTGGTGGTGATGGTGCTCCTTCTTGGGGGGTGAGGAGGTGCCACCACGGCCCTTGGGGCTGCCCTCCTTGCTCTTCCGCCCAGGGCTCTTGCAGGTCTTCAGTCCTTTCCCGCTCTTCTCACCCACAGGGGACACCAGCAGGGGCTTTACCACTTCTTTGACCTCGATGCTCACAGTCTCCCGGGTCTTGCGCTTCTTGATTGGAAGCACGGTCTCCTGCACAGACCGGAAGGAAGACTCTTTGACGGCTTTCTTCTTGGCCTCAGCAGCAGCGGCTGCCACCACACTCCCTGGCTTCCGGCCTCTCTTCTTGGGAATGGCTTGGGGGTCAGCTTCTGCTTTTCGCTTTCTGCCAGGGCGTTTGATGACCATGACCTGGGTGGACGTGGTTGCCCCACCGCCTTCGGCCTTGCCACCTGCAGAAGCTTGGAAAGGCATCTTGACCAGGAGCTTCCCGGGGCCCTTCTCCAGGACCCTTTTCACCTGCACGCCCTCAGCCGCCGCCACCGCTGCCGCCGCCTTGGGCCGTGCACTGCCACTCCCCTTGGGCCGGCCCCGACCTCGGCCAGTTCCTGGAGCTTTGGGGGATTTGGGCTTCTTAGGTGGTTTCTGCTCTCGGCGGGAAGGGCTCCCTCTCCCCGTGACCGTGAAGTCAAAATCATTAGGGTCCAGGGAGGTATCGCCTACCTTTTCGAAGTATGCAATCAGCTCCACTTTAGAGCGGAAGGCTTTGCCCTGGGGGCTGGGGGGAAACGGAGAGACACAAAGAATGATTAGCAGGGTTCCTTGGCCACCAGGAGACGGGGAGGTGGGGAGGCAGCCAGAGCCCTCAGAGAGGATGGTCAACGGACACGCCGGGTCTCACTAGGCAACCAGAGTCTCGTGAAGAACAGCCACCACATTTACTCTAGGGGCACCAGAGAGGCTGTGCAAGGCACAGCGCGCAGGGCAGGTATAGGTGGCAGGCCTGGGGGCTGGTCTGCGGGCAGCCGGGATCACCCCCCAATCTCTCCACAATCCAGCAGTTCCAAGCATGGGGCATGCCAGGGAAGGAGCTGGAGGCCCTGCCTAGCGTCAGGCTGAGGGACAGTCTGCTGGATGATGCCTGGGCCTGATTTGCTAGCAGGTATTTTTTTGTCTGAGCCGAGGCATCCGCTTCCTCCTCAGAGCAGGATACACAGCCAGCCTTCATAACCCATCAGAGCAACGTTCTAGAAAGTCCTGCAAACACTAAACTAGCAAATGCCTAACGAGCCCTCTTCAGCTGAGACCTTTCCAGCACTCTGCCCAGGAAAGCACGGTGACAATTCGCAAATAAGGATTCCATGAATAATGAGGACCAACTGTAATTAAACCACACTATCCACAAATATGCTTTCCAAATGGCTAGCCATTTCTGATCACTCCAATGGGTACAACAGAAATATACTCATTCTCGCTCCTCTGAAGACCATGCTCTGGAAGTTACTGTTTCAGTAGGACAAGTTCAGATGCTAGCCCAAAGCTGAATACAAAATACAAAGGGGATGGCTGGTCTCTCTCTTGAATCCCTGTCAGCGGGCACGTCTTTCCCCAAGCTGATTCACAGATAAGAATAAAATCAGGCATCATCAACTCCTCCTCCTTTTTCAAGCGAAGAAGGGAGGCCAGCAATACCCGTTCGCCAGCAGGGACACGGCAGGAAGCAGGCAGGAGCTCTCGGGTGCCTGAGCACTACAGGCAGGTCACCCTGGAAGTTTTCACTGCCTACAACCAGGCACTGCTATGCTTTCCAGGGCCCCCTCTGGACCCTCACCCTGGGCTTGCTTCTTAAGGCCTTGCCCGTCCCAGCTCTACGAAGTGGGCTGTGAACACCCACTAGTTTCTCTGATTGGCCCGCCCCCGCCCTGCTGAGACAGAATGTGCTCCTACTTACTTGATCAAATACACATCATACTTCCCAGCGGAACGGCCGGATTTTCTCTGCTTGAGTTTTCGTGTCCAACCTTCAGGTAGGGTGGGGTCATCATACATGGGTCCCCGGTCACGAATGATGGAGCGCCGCTGCTTTGGGGAGGCCGAGGCCTCAGGGACAGCAGGGGCTGAGCCTGAGCCTTCAGATGTCTCTGCCTTGCCGGCCTCCGCTGGCTCAGCAGAGTGGTGGGTGGATGGCTGCAGAGGCTCATGTCTGCCCTCTTTGTCTTCTTTTTTATCCTTCTTCAACTTCTTTAGCTTCAGAGGCTTGTCCTTGAGGCCCTGAAGGTCTTGGTCTTCTGACTTTTCTTCCCTGAAGTATTAAACAAGCATGTAAGTGTCAGCGAACACACCAGTTTGCAGAAAAAGGCAGGCAGGCTCAGAGGTGTTTCTCCTTGGGGATGTCCCCAGGAGACGGGTCTGGCCCAGACTCTGAACCATGTCTGCTGTGCTGGACTCCACCCGAACTCCAGCCCCTGTCATTCCAGAGCTCACAGGTGGGCACCTACGGTGGCCTGAGTCCTGGGCCACCTGGGCCCATAGGAGTGGGCAGAATGGCAGGCGAGGAAGCTGCCTATCCCAGATAGGAATGGGGCTGCTACCCTCTAGGTACAGATGTACTTCTCTCTAATGTGCTACCCACCTATTGCACTGGCTGGGAGGTGCTAGCGCAAGAAATCAAAGCTCACCCTGGGTCTGAGAGACATCCTTACTGGGAGAGCTAAGTGGAAAAGGCAGAAATCCAGGGCAGCCCCCGGCAAGGGTCAGCATCGTGCCCATCTCTTCCTGCTGGCAGGAGAGCCATTCAGTGCAGGGTGGTGGCAGTGGGAGCAGTTCTTGACCAGTCCACTTCTGGGACCATGGAGCAGCACTGAGCTAGGACACTTCAGAGGCTGGTCACCTAGTGACCACCTGGAGGGTCCCGGGCATCTACTGGTGGCACCCTGGCCTAGTGGGCAAGAGCACAGTGTGCACTGGAGATGCAGGTGTGGAAAGAAGGGCTGTGGGTTTAACGGCAGCACTGGCCAATCTCCCAGTATCAGTTCCTTCTTCAGGGAATGAACAAATAGAAAGGGCAAGACTATTCTTGTCCTGTATCTTTAGTAGAGAATCTTGTTACTTGGAGATTGAGGCTCTGCCAGGCAAGGCTTCTTGTCACTGGGGTCAGTGGGCAGTGAAAGAGATTCGGGGCATGCTCTATAGCAGCACCGACTGGGAAACGGGACTCAAAGCAGTACATGGTAGAAGCACCTAGAAGCTGGCTAGATGGGCCATGAGTAAGAGCCTCAGGTGATGAGCCTAGGGACCTAGATAGGCACTTGTAAAGGATGGGAGAAGGCGGGCAGGAATGGCACAGTGAGTCCACAACCTTCCTAGGAGTGTGCAGTCATGGACAGATTAGAGGACCCATTTCCATGTAATTCACACCCCAAATGATAGGGCACTCTCTGGGCCCTGAGAAGATTCAGCTTCTCTGGAGCTCTTGTTTACATCCCCCAGATAATTTCAACTTTATGAGGCCCCAGGACTGTCCCTTAAACATGACCATGGACAGTGAGGCACTCCTGATGAACAAGAAGTAGATAGTGTGGTAGAAGTGGGATGAAAATAGACACCATCAAAGTTTTTGAACTTTTTTATGGTTTAAAAGTATCTGAGGTAGGGACTGTAACCCACACTAGGGAGGTGCCCTGTGGTCGAGCAAGAGGATTCAGTCAGTCCCCAATTCAACACATGTGTGCAGACTGGGGCAAGGAAGAGAGAAAAGCAGCTGGCCCCTTGGCCTTCTCGTCCTGGGTCTCAATGAGATGCGGCTCAGCCACAGCCCCTTAGGGAAGCTCAGAACCCCAGCCAGCACTGGCCAGCTCGATCCACAGGCTCCTTGCCCACGGTGGCAGCAAGGATCCTTGCCTCGGAGACTGAGGCCGAGCGTGGCTCTGCCCACGCCAACACCCCAAGTGAGCAGAGACTGCTGTACTAAGGCACCACCGTGGTGTCAGTGGTCACCTCGAGAGACCCAAGGACTATGTTCTGTGGCCTCAAAGGTGACTGATGAGAGCTCCCAGAACTGAGAAATGAGAAAATGTTAGGAAAGGGGAAAAGGCAGCAATTTGAGATGGAATTCTGTCCCCCTCAAATACGTGGGGTTGTAACCCCATGTGGGAATGAAGCTGTTTTGTTATGTAAACCACAAAGGAGTCACATTAACTCTCTCTAGTTCCTCTTTTCTAAGAAAAGAGATTACATGAGAGAAGATCTGCCAAGACACATCAACAATCACCCAGATGTCAAAGTTCAAAGTGACAAGGTCCTTGCCCAAAGCCACCCAAGAAAGCCTTCAGGCAAATTCCCTGGATTTGGGACTTCTGTCTAGTCTCTTATGCTGTGAAGGCATTCATTCCTGTTTGTGACAGACACCACTTGTGGTATTTGTTATCGTGGCATCAGGTGACTGAGAAAGCAGAATACTTGTGGCCACTGGCCCATATGACAACTATTTACCCAAGTCCTACTGTATCAAACAGAGCAGGGAAACACTGCATGGTTCAAAAGCAGGAAAAATGTATACCAGCGACGCATCTTCCCTCCATAATCTTCAATCTGTAGGCAGAACAGATCATCTAGGAGGCTGGACTCTATGAGGAGGAGTGTGGCATCAGGATTGGAGAAAGACTCATCAACAACCTGTGTTATGCAGATGGCACAAGCCGGCTTGCTGAACTGAAGAGGACCTGATGCGCTTGCTGCAGAAGGTCAAGGACTGTGGTCTTTAACACGTTGCCGCAAATGACGGCAAAATGTGTTTCTAAGCCTGGTTGTCAATTTAAAAGTGTACTGCAACGTGTTAACATGGATTGAAGCTCAACATAAAGAAGACAAAGATTCTCCCACTGGGCCAATTGGCAGGACCATGATGGATGAAGAGATTGAGGTTGTTAACAATTTCAGTTTGCTTGGCTCCACAATCAACACTCTTGGCACAAGCAGTCAGGAAATTAAAGGACAAATTGCACTAGGAAAATCTGCTGTCAGGAATCTCTCTGGAGTACTGAAGAGCAATGATGTCAGTCTAGAAGCTAAGGTGCACCTGATCCAGGCCATGGTCTTTACACTCCCTTGCTATGCATCAGAGAGCTGGACAATGACTAAGGATGAAAGAAGAAGAATCGATGCCTTTGAGTTTGTGGTGTTGGAGTATTGAATAGACCATGGACTGCTAAGAGAACAAAGAGGTCTGTCCTGGAGAGGGTGAAACCAGGCTGCTCCTTGGAAACAAGGATTTTGAAGCTCCCTCTCACATACTTTGAGCATGTTGCCAGGAGGGACCAGTCCTTGGAGAAGGACATCATGCCTGGAAGGGTTGAGGAACAACAGAAGAGAAGACCCTGGATGAGATGGATTGACTCAGTGACCGGGGTAATAGGGGTAGATGTGTTGGAGGCAATGAAATTGGCTCAAGATAGAGCACGGTTCAGAGCTGTACTACATACATAGTGTTGCAGACAACCTGATGGCACATTACAACAGTCTCCAGGGCCCCAAGAGAATATGGTAACTTCCTTTGCAGAGCTTTCTGTGTCAGAAAGCTGCATGTGGGTATCTGTCTGTGATCTCTGTACCTGCTGAACCTGGACTTGTCAATATCTAAAGCTAGACACATGCAACCCTGTCTCCAAAACACCATGTCTGAACATGCTAGCGTCGGAAGCTGGCAGCACCAAAGTCCAAGTTCTACAAACTTGAGTGAGAAAGAAATCAGATAAATGTGCCAATGGGGACAGGTGGGTGGTGCCCTCAAGCAGAAGACAGATGCACTTTGCAAGAAGGAGGGTCAGGTGCGATAAGTTCTAGCCACTGATGTTAATAAGGAAGGATTACAAGCAGATCTAGAAAGATATAATCTGTATCTGATGAAGGGTAGGTTCTCTGAAGGGGGGTGGCCTGAACGCTGTTTATATCTGGACTCTGGCAAAACATCAGAGAGCTTTCTATCAGATCTATACCTAACAACCTGGCTGCGGCCTCTGGACAGAAAGCGGTGGCATGCTGTACTGCTGAATGTGGGACCCTTTGAAGTCACAACAGTCCGAGACCTACCTGCCTGCTGGTGACCTGAACTCTGGCTCCCCAGATACGCTGACCTTGAGGCCTGACCTCCAGATCTGGGACTTGCCTTCTCTCCCTACCCTTGCTATAAGCTTCTCTAGAGAACCTAGCCTAAGACAAGCTACCAGGGGTGCAGGGGAGAGACAGGTGGTGGGAGTGGGACCATACCAAAGGGGTTTAAGGCAGTGCCAGTGGCCAGGGAGGAGCCCAGTAGCTGTCAAGGATTTCTGTCTTATGTCTGAGAGCAAAGGCCACCAGCTGTGGAGGGAGATCTACTTGGGCTCACTCAGGTTTGGGTCCAAGTAACTTTTTATAGCACTAAAAAGTCAATAAAGGCATTTTTTACCTTAGCTGATATCCAACTTCTTCTCAATTAAAAACAACTTGAGGTAAATGACAGTGTGTGAATTCTTCATTCTGCTCACTGGGTGCACACAGGTGATTTTATTTTATTTTCTGATTGCCACTACTATACTTAAAATAGATCCCAAAACCAAAATTTACCTTCAACTTGCTTGGATCCACAATTAACACCCTTGGTATGAGCAGTCAGGAAATAAGGAGATGCATTGCACTGGGAAAGTCTTAAGTCAGGGAACTCTCCAAATTATTGAGGAGTAATGATGTCAGTTTGAGGACTAAGGTGCATCTGACTCAGGACATGGACTTTCTGACTACTTGCTATGCATCTGAGAGCTGGACAATGAATAAAGATGACAGAAGAACTGACACCTTTGACCTGTGGTGTTGGAGAAGAGCACTGAACCTCCCATGGATGTCCAGGAGAACAAACCAGTATGTCTTGGAGAGGGTGCAGCCAGAATGCCCTTTGATCGCCAGCCTCATTTCTGTCACCAAGTCTTTACTGGCACAAGAGGAGATTGCCACTCCTTCTCCAGTGGAGCATCTGATGGATTCGAACTGTGTGCCTTTGGGATTGCAGCACAGCTTCTTGCCCTTGTGCCACCAGCGCTCTAGAGTGCTCTTTGGAGGCGAGAATGATGAAGCGTCACCTCCCATACTTTGGGCATGTTACCAGGAGGAGCAATTCCTTGGAGAGGGACATGATTCTGGGAAGGGTGGAGGGTTGGCAAAGCAGAGGAAGACCCTCAACCAGGTGGATTGACACGGTGACTGCTGCAATGGGCTCTTGTGTGTCAGGAAGTGAGGATGGTGCAGGATAGAGCAGGATTCAGATCTTTTGTT